ATTACCAGAAATAATTTCTGTCGCTCTGTGAAGCCAACACACTAGACATGCTCAACATTGGCACGCATCTCCGACCCTCACTATAACCGCCATTTTGGAAAATGATTGGCGCCACTTATAGTTAGTTGGAGTCGCGAACAGTGTGCCGGGTGCCTGCCATACCGTCATGCTGTGAAACGAAACCCATGTTTTTGCACAGCGAGAGTTACTTTGTGAGCTGAAACGCTAACGCGACCACTGTCACCGTGGTCATGTGACGTCGGGTGTTGCCGTCCCCTTGTCGCTGCAGATATGGCGCTTTCTAAACTTGTTCATCGACATTCCTCTTCTTGTTCAAATCGTACTACAGTGTAGACCGCATATAACGTATGTCTCGGGAGTCGCAAAAATCCGCACTATAAACGGTACCGCGCTATAACCAAAACATCAATTTTTCAGGCCAAAATACATGCCATGAGACAATTACCTTTGTAAAACAATTTATTTTATGTTAGATGAAAAATAAAGCTTAGTTTTAGGACAGTCTTTATTTCACCAGACTAGTACAGTTCTGTCTCAAGTGTGCCACACATTTTGAAAGAAATCAGCGGCTGTTGCCTGGTGCAGCCTTTTAACGGCATCGCGGGTTGCAGACGGACATTGCGAGCGTTCAGGATTGCTAACCCTAATCACTTTTCTCCGGAGATGAAAACGCGTGAAAATTCGCATCCTTCATACGGTACGCGCCAGTAATACCTTGAACTTGAGCACACGCATGAAATGCGCCAAATAAGAAATCCAGGCGATGTTCGAGGACACAAATGCTTAGAAAGCACCACTGTAGTCGAAGTAAACAAACACCACGGCACGGACGTTTCTGCCATCTTGAGAGCGCCGCCACGGCATCGCCGCACGAGTAGGTGGATCTTCCCTTCTAGTACGTGCTGGGTTATCATAGCGACACACAACGAAAATTCACAGTCAAAGATAGCGCTTTTACGCAGAACAATGAGATGAACGCCGTCTACGACGACGATCACAACTGGCGCCATGTTTGCGGATAGAAGCAGCTGGCCCGCGACCGGCATGCAACGCGCGCGAACACTTCTCAACCTGCGATTGGTCTGTCGTTGCGGTTTGTTTCTTTGTTTCCAACGCAGCGGAGGGACGCACGCACATGAACGACACGTGCGTGCGTCCCTCCGTCGCTACGGCAACTGCAGCCTCTCTCACCGCTTCTCCCCGCGAGTGCCCCTTGCGGCTCGCGCCGTCAGCGCCGTTATCTACTGTCGCACAGGGAAGCGTGCTTGCTGCTCCGGTCGGCGGCGCGGTCGGCGGGCTGTGCCAAAAACCGCACTATAACCGGTATTTCCCTTCGCGCGCCTGCATTTTAAGCGGTATGTAATTACATGGAGTTCTATGGGAGGTGAACCGGTGGTTTAAAAAAACCGCGTTATACCCGGTCCTGCACTATAAGCGGTTACGTTGTAAGTGGTCTATACTGTATACTGCAAAAATCCCTCTTTAACTCAGACTGCTTGTCGAAATATTTATTACCTAGATATCTCTCGGCGGGTTTTCTTTTGAGAGGGACGCCGCTACGTGAAAAATCTGCCACAAAAAAAAGTTGGTGAGGGGAAGTGAGCTAAAGGCAAAGAAGGCAATGTCTGCACGCTGAACCCGCACAGCGCGCTTGTTTGTCTCGAGTTCAATCGTAGCTCAGAGCGCTCCAAAACATTTTTGACCCTGGCTCGCGTTGTCATGCATCAATGCGCTCAGGTTCTGTTTTTCTCTGTATTTAGCTTGTACCTCATCTGCCGGCCTGGCAAGCACGAGCCGCCGGTCTGGATTTTTTTTTTTTGTTCTTTTTTTTTTTTTTTTTTTTTTTGAATGTTGGGTAGTTGCATTTTGCATACTATTTTGGGACCCAGTTGGTGACGGAGTGGAGTGGCATTGTTTCGGTTTCGATTGAACAGCCGTTGTCTCCGCTCGCGTGACGAAGCACGTGCCACTGCAAGCCTGCTAAAGTTGCCCTCACGTGCATGTGGACATAACTGCACGACAGAGCAGCAGCCGGGACGCTTGCAATCTATTGTTTTACGTTCACTTACTTTTAACGAAAATCTGGCACGTCGGGAACCGTGAACCAGTAGAACGGTGGCGAGCGTTCTTTTTCGGAATTGCTCGGCAACGCCTACAACACTGTACACTTGTGGGGTGTCTCGCCAGTACAAACACAAACAACGAGTTCCGTCATAACACAGCACAAAGTGCCCTTCGTTTGTCCAGCACTTAAAACAAATATTTTTATTTTTCTAAGCATATTTGCTCCAAAAGTCACTTTTTCTGCTCCGAAACACTGTTCTGGCTGCTCCAAAAGGTGCTTCAAAATGGCTTGGGCCAATCACATCACTGATACTAAGAATTATGCGGTATTAAGGGAATATCACATATACAGGGTGCTTCACGAAACTCTACCGTATTTACCCGAAGATGGGTACACCACGAAAATAGGTCGACCCCTATTTATCGAACCCACCGAGAATAAAAAAAAAAATAATTCAAATATCGGTCAACCTTTTTTTTTTTTTTTTAGGAACAGGGGAAAGTAAGGGCAAAAGAAAGAAACAAATCTTTATTTACTGCACTCTCGGCTAAATCGCAGGGCGATGCCAAAAACTTAATCATCGTCAGAACTTCTAAACATGTAATCATCGTCCGAAGCTTCGTCAGCTTGGTAGATATCCTCGCAAATTCACAACAATACTTCACTGACACCTTGTAAAATGACATTGCGCAAGACCCAATGAAAGAAGGTGGACACGGGCGAAGCGACGAAAGACCAAATACAAATACGCGAGCAACGCCGGAGTCGCCATGAGCAGCACGCGAGCTGCCACAAGCAACAAGCTAAAGTAACCTCCGTTGTTTCTTTTCTTTTTTTTGTGTGTGTGCATTTGCGAGGGAGAGGAATGGAGGGCAAGGTGCATGGTGCATCGCATTCCTCTCCCTCCCCTTGCCCAGCGAGGGGAACGCTACAGGCGCGATGGCGAAACCCGACGCCCTGGGGATGTGCGCAAGTGGCGGCCACGGCGGGGGGGCTGTCGGTTGCTGCTGTTTCGGTTGTTTTCGTGCACCAAAAGCTTTTTGAAACAAGAAGCGGCACGGCTCTACGGCAACGCCCGCTCGGTGATTCGATAGCTCCATGCCTTCGGTAGGGTCGCAAAATTTGGTCGCAAATGTAGGTCGAAATTCTTTGATCGCAATTACAGGTCGACCCTCAATTTTTGACAACATTTCCAAAAAAAAAAAATTGACTTATATTTGAATAACTACGGTATGCATCGCCTTTTTGCTGCCTGACCCAGGGCTTGTTTAGGAAAATTTAATAAAAGTTTCAAATATTTGAGCCATTAAATATTTTTGAGTATTTACGTTCTTAATTATTAAACATAAGGACATGGTTTCAATTAGAGACTTGCTTGCCATTGTCGAATACCACCAAATCATTCCAAAAAAAGATGTAAGGCTCGTGCACCTAACAATTTAACGTGGCGTTCAGTGCAGATTTCGGACTGAACCATCTGACACCTTTTCCGTTCAGTGAGAAGGCCTCAAAAGGGGAGAGGTCGGTTCTAGGGATGTGCGAATAGTGAATTTTCACTTCGAAGCGAATACGAAGCGAATAATTCATTTCAACGAATAGTTTCGAATCGAAGCGAATAATTTTTAAGCGAAGCAAATAATTTGCATTTGCTAATTTAAAAGTGAGAAAATTTACAAAAGAGAACTTGAATAATTTGCACATTGATGTGGGTTAGCTAGCCGTGTCGTCTTAAACATATTTTCTAGGTTACCATTTAGATTTTATTTTAGAGTTATTTAGATTTTTCTCATTTACATCTGCCCATTTATATTTCCGGCCCTCGAGACAGCCTCCACCCGGCCCCTTAGCCAAAAAGTTTGGAGACCCCTGGCTTAGAGCATCGCGATTTCGACTTTTGAATAACACTTCAAAGTCGTGTCAGTCTTAATTCCAAGAAAACAATTACGGTATTCGAGAGGTATCGTAGCTGTCGAAATGAGGATATTTTAAAAATTGGAGAAACTATCGATATCACCATCATTATTTTCTACGCAGGGCAGCTCAATAACGGTAGCAACGGCGTACGCGTTAGACGTGCAGCAGGTGGGAAATTAGTTTAAGTGTTTTTGGACGCAAGAGGACAAAAATAAGTCAGGCTCTGGCAATCATAGCACACGGTCACACAGTTTTTGACGTGAATGTCATCTTTTGCGGCTCTCAAGAACACAGTTGAAGCTAAAACGAAACTAGTTTCTCCGCCATCTTTGCTCGTTTGGTGGCTCGCCGGCTAGCTGGGATTGTTTTAGCGGCAGCTCGGATGCCTAAACCTATTCCTTCCCGGAATTTTTGCTGCCACGATTCTTTCTGGGCGCCTCCCCCTGCACTCCGAAACAGTAAGTGCCTCGCAAACGTGGTCGGCGGCAGCGGTCCCGTAAATAGGCGCCATTTTACCTTCGTTGGGGAATTCCGTTCAGTTGAACTGAGGTGTGATTAGCGGCTCGATGAAAGTTAGAGCCGCCGTTTAACTCCGGCCGATCGCGATTGAGTCAACTGTCGTTGGCTCAATGGCAGTTGAGAGCGCTCGTGTAACTAGGGTATTAGCTTACCTCCTTTCGAATAAGGTCGTGGTTTGCACCGTGTTTAAACTTCGAAATACTTTGAAAATATTCGAAGTTTCCGAATAGTACTATTCGCTTCGAAGTCCGAATCGAATATGGTATTATTCGCTTCGATATTCGAAGCTTTTGAATATTCGCACAACCCTAGTCGGTTCCCTGTAAGAAAAGTTTAGTTTACGATAAAATAGCATGTCTCTTATAAATGAGCATTCTTCGCAGAGCACGCTACAGTTTTACCGAGACCAAAATTTCCGTATGCCGTTTGGGAAAACAGCCCGGCACCGAGGTTGACGAACCGCGCTCTCGATGCCGCGCAGTGCTGCACGACATCCACGGTCTGCCGAGGAGCGAGCCGACCATGGAACTGAGAACACCTGCCAACGTGCCAGTTTTCGAGCGCTTCTTCCGGGAGAAGATGCTGGGCGTCCCGGCGGAAGACAACGCCACCGGGTCCGAAAGCCTCATGCCCTTCCTGCCCCCCACCGAGGTGAGTGCAGCCGTGTTGCTGTGCAGGTCAGTTCTCAGGCGCTACTTGATCGTAAAAAAAAAAAGGGAGTGAATTCACACTACTGCGTAACGTGTCAGGGCGACGGCTGCTCGGCACTAGCATCCATCACTGTGGCCCCTTTTGTCGTTTCTGCACCTCCCCCCTTGAGCACGATTCCGAGGATTTTTGGTGGCATTTTCACTTCCTCTCTTGATTCCACTCCTGTACCCGATCTGTACATCGTCTATGACAAGCCTCCTCGGCGAGCCGTAACCGAAAGTCGTGCTCTTCGGACTCGCTGCGGACTTTCCGAGGTCTAATTGTGCGGCGTGTAAGACTGTCCGCTCGAATTGTGGTGGGCGTGCGCCGGCATGACGGGGTGTCGGCTACGGCTTTTGTCAATGTGGGAACGGCGACCCTTTGGAAAGCCTTGCCTCCAGCACTTGCTCGTTGCATTTCGACATGTGCTCAAGGCACCGGCCATCTTTGCAAAGGACGACGATGCAATTCCCCGGGGAATCTCCTACTAATAGCTGTCGCTGTAAAAGAGTCGCATAAATAAGGCAGTAAACACAATGTGACGAAACTTTTAGGGGCGAAGCTCCTTAGGGTCTAGCCTTGTCCGTCCGGCGTCCGTGCTCACATCGATTGCCATCCGTCCCATCTGTCTTCTTAAAAAAAAAGTGAAAGCCGTTTACAACTCCCTGTAACGCCGAATTGGAGCGCAGCTCTTGAGGAGGAGGAGGGAAGGGTACTGAGGGGAGGGTAGACCCCTCCTCCTCCTCCCCTTATTCTTTAAAATGCTCCGGGGGGTGTCACGTGACTTCGGGGAGGGGGGTCACGTGACCTGGGGGTCACGTGACCTTGGGGTGTCACCTTGGGGGTCACGTGACATTGGGAGGGGTCACGTGACCTTGGGGGTCACGTGACCTTGAGGATCATGTGACCTTGAGGTGACCTTGGTTACGCCGACGGCGACACCGCTCAAGCCGGAAACGGGCGCCTAAGAGCTGCGCTCTAAAAGAAAAAATGTTTGCGCAGTCGACAGGATTCGAACCTGTGCGAGGAGACCCCAATGGATTTCTAGTCCATCGCCTTAACCACTCGGCCACGACTGCAGGACGAGTAGGGGGCTCTGAGATTCTGAGATGTGGTAGTAACTCAAGAGCTGGGGATGTCATGGGTGAAACGTTGCATGTAGCCGCTCAACGTCTATACAGGGGAGGGCGCTGCGGTCAAATGCGTATATAATCGCGTTAAACTTTGCATGCGTTGGCTCAACGTTTATAGACGAGAGGGCGCTGCGGTCAAATGCTCAAATGCATATGCACCATCAGCACTACCTATGAACAAAATCAGTATCATCAGCACCACCAGAGCTTCGCCCCAATCAACATCGTTCACCACATGGAGATGCAGTCATTTTTGCAAAGGTTTTTTTTTTTTTTTGCAAGATGGTGCATTTACAGTACTCGAATTTCGGAGCGTAGATATCTGGTAAATAATGCAAGAAAGGAAAACCCCATTATTCTGTAGGGGGGAAAAAAGGAAACAAACTGGTTGATGCTGCCAGTTGCAGATGTCACCACGTGGAATAGAAACTGAAAAGTTTCTCGAAGATCCTAAAGCAGATCCGACCGCATGCCTACCGCCCGTACGTAGAAGCTTTGGCTTGATGGAAAAGCGTCCACAGCTTCTCACGCATTTCGGCTGCCTCAGAACGGCAGGACATAGACACCGACGGTCTTGGTGGAGCCAGATTTCTGGTGACTATACAAAAGGGCAGCAAAACATCACTTGCAAGATCTTTACCAACAGCCACAGACGAAGTGAGAAGGGCAGGGCATGTCTTGGAACGCCTCCATCACGCCATGCTCTGGCTGCCCCCCACACACTCGAAATGCACGAAACATAAATCATTGTCGGAGGTGGGAGGCTGCAGGGACAATCAGAGCTGCTGCTTCTCACCTTGTCAGCGACTACAGGGTTTATTTGTAACTTTGTTTTGTGCAAATACGTCGGCGTCGTGCAAAGCGTAAGAAGAAATGAAGTTGACAGGTAGCCAAACAACCTAACTCTTTGCGGCGAAGCGAGCGCATCCGAGCTTTTGTTTGCACAGTTTTAATGCGAAAGCATTAACTGCCCCATGGAGCGAGCCGACGTCGTCAGTTTAAAGCACGAAAACGGCACCTAGTTTCCCTTATCCCAAAAATCCCATTGGCTGGGGCGCGGCAACGCGGCTCCCATTAGCCGCTGCGCGCGTCAGTTGCAACGATCGCCGCCAGATGACGCTGCGTGTCCGTGCCGCGAGTGTGCCGATAAAACTAACCGCCGCAACCCCATGCCACTACGCGCCCCGCGCCGGTTAAAGCGGACACGTTGGCACACGCTCGGAGCCTTCTACTCGTCTCGCCGCCGACCAACATGTCGTCGCCTCCATCATCCACGTCGTCGGCGGTCGCTTCTGCTCGTCTCGATGCAGACGAACAGGGCGCTGCCTCTAGCATCCACATCGTCGGACATTCATGCTTTCGCATTCACAACTCATAAGAAGTGCTTAGGTGTCTTCCGACTTTTTCCACTTCTCTGTCGCTCTCTTTGTCATCCTTTCTCTCGAGACCACAGGCGTTGGTGCTCATGTTTTTCCGTGTTCTGCTCTCGTCTTTGAACCTCCTGCACGCTACAGGACGTCCCACTCCTCGGGACTTTGTGCGATGAACTATGGTAGGTATCTCCGCCACTTGCCCACTAAGAACGAACACTTTGGCTGTTGTTTTTGTTTATAAAAAGGTTTTTTCGTTTTCAGTAGATATGGCACGTATGCCTGTTTTAATCTCTCGGCACGGCGTTGCTCCACTGCCACGCTCCCCGTGATTCCGCAATATTTTCTAACACCAAAGCTCTTGCGGTATAATTCTGCCGTGCGTCACTTAATTTGGCAGGCTTCATATCACTCAGTCGATATACGCTGACTTTCGACAACACCTATTAGAGCCTGGTGTTTAGAAGGAAAGAAAACTATGTTCTCACCACAAAAATAAACTGCCTTAATATCCGAGGCATTCCCCCCTCCCCCAAGCCACCTGAAATTCATCTAAGTGGGGTGGGCAATGTCTGGGTAAGTATGCAACAAAAGGTCAGAAAAAGCTAAAGAGAAATCGCCCTTTCTTGTGTATTTATCTAGCACGGCTGCATGGGAGGTACTACAGTGAATTCAAAGCTCGAATTAGTTCCATTGTTTTATACAAGAAAAGTGTGAAATAATGTCGTACTATTGGAAAGTCTGTTGCTTGCACGTGTGCGATGAGCGCCACGAATTGACATCTTTCATATCCTCGCACGGTGCGAACGCTTGTTCCACAAAGGCAAGTTTTGAAACCCCAATATTTCTAACTCTAAATAAAGTAAACTGAGCTAAAAAGATGTTAAAAAAAAAGTTCAGCTTTTCCACTCTGGTGAAGAAGGAAGACCAGCGAAGCTGTACTATGGTAGGAATGAAGTAATGGCCGTCCGCCAGTCGGCAAGCCGGAGTCGAAAGGTTGAAAGGTTGCCGCCATCTATGAGCGACGGCGGCAAGCGGACAACTGGCAAACACAACACTGTGGACAGCTACCGCCATCTATGAGCAACGGCGGCAACCAGAGTGTTGTGTCGACATTTGGTACCCGACACAATTCTGGGGAACCTAGCCCTTAACAGCTCCGCTATAAAAAAAGGTGACCGCAAAGTAGAAAAAGCAACCAGTGAGCGAGCAGGCGAATGAAGCGACGAAGCACGAAGCTGGTGATTGTGACGGGTGCCTTGTCGGTCACAAGCTCTTGCACAACCTTCTCGTTTGGTGCGTACCTGTGTGCTCCCATGCACGGTGTGCAAACAATGCAGGCGATAGCGGCGTTGCTGCGCACCTTAGATGACGCCGCGCTCTGCTTGAAAAAAAAAAACTGATATCTTATTCATTTTGATACATAAAGTAATGTGCATATAAAAGTAGAAAGCTTTAATGTCACTGGAAATTCACAATCTGAATGTAGAAAATGAGACAAGAATAGGGGTGGTTGCCAAATTGTATGTGTATAAATAAGCAGCTATGTTTATCTTGAGTAACAATCAATGGGTATCAGTGAGAAGAACACAATTTGTCCTTCTCACTGCACTGAGCACAAGTTTGTCTGCTTCCTGCTCAGGGCTTGCCATGATGTCAGAATGCCAAACTCTTATTGGCTCATTGAAAAAAAAAAAAAAATAGGGGCAAGACCTCAATGTACCGTATCTACACTAATGTAGGTTGACCCTTTTTTCAATTTTCGAAAATCTGAAGTGAGGGGGTCAACGTATAATCGAACCAAAGCATTCCACCGTTGGCAAAAACGAAACAATCGCGATATCATGAACACCTCGGCTTGTTACGAGTTTCCCGCAGGGGGCACCTGTGAAAGCAGGTGTTTGGAGAGTGGCGTCCCCACGGACCCCGAGCCCCGCAGGGGGCGCCTGCACCTTAGGTGCTAGGTGCTCGGTGAGTAGCGTCACCACGGACCCCAGCCACGTGGGCCACCATACCCGCACGCAGGGGGCACCTACTTTTTAGTAGGTGCTTGGTGAGTGGCGTCACTACGAACCCCGAGCCATGTGGGTTCGCCCACCCACGTCTGGCTGTGCGTGGCGTACCCGTGTCCGGGGAAAGGGGGACCCTGGTGGTTGAGCTGAGCCCGGGGTATGTTTGGACCCTTCGGGGCCCCCCGGGCAAGGCAATACACCGCTTCGGCCTCTGCTTCTCGTAGACGGGTGTCCTGGCTTGGCCCGACCAGGATGATTCAGTCAGTCGCCTCTTCTACCCTATTCTTCCTTCTTTCACTTTTCCTTCCACCTCTTTCTCTTTTCTTCTGCACTCTCTTCCTTTCTTTTTCACCTCCTTAGGCGGCAAGGGCCAACCTTGAGTGGAAACAGGACCTATCCCTGCAACCACACTAGGGTATAGTGCCCGGGCAGCACTGGTAGAGGAA